TATTACATTAAAAATTTGACTTAATGAAAGGGAATTGATTGAATTTAATGATAGTATTTGAATTACATTTTTTTGCTTTCACAATGAAAAGTGGCCATATTTCAAAAAGTATGTATTTTAGTTAAAAAAAATTCCAAAAACATAAGATTCTATTTATATTTTTTGTAGTAGTATAGATATAGATAGGTTTTTTGATAGAGGTGGAGAGCAAGACAATGAGAAGGGTTCTATTTCAATTAACTGTTGTTTTGTTCATTTTGGGATGGTTCCAGCATGCGCACTTGTAGTGTATTCATAGATTTCCAAAGAGCAATCTCTCCATGATTCAATGAAGGAGAGTAAGTAATTCACAAAACCGTCTTCACACCCCTTGGCAACTGTGCATTGGGAACCATGAATAAAAACATACAAAGAGATGTTCTTAATGCACGACTACAAAAGGCCGTGAGAATGATGAGTGGGGAAAATGGTCTAAAAAATAATGCAAATGGTAGTTTTAAGATTTTAACTGTTTTATGATGCACATGGCATCACATGTTCTATATAACTAATAGATTGCTGTATATTTTTGAAAGTTTAGAGTTATCATACTTGAAAGTTCAAGCCCTTGACTATCATTACTTTTCAGAGTAAATTGTGTGTGTGTGGCGGGGAGGGGCCAGGGGGGTATAAAGATGCATGGATTGAAAGATTGTAGTTCGGGGTGATCATTTCTAAAACCATAGTAAGAAAATATTAGTGAAGAAAATAGTACCAATGGTTTAAATTTGTGATGGTTAAAAACATAAAACAAAACCATTGCACTAGCAACATGCTTTGGGGGAGCCAATAATTTTTGCTAGTTTATTTGAGAAGATATGCATATTTAATTACTATGAAGAAATAAGTATTTGGTCCATATATAGGTCATAGGATTACTACACGATACCTCATAGCTTGCCTCTTCAGCCATATTTCAAGGTTTAGGACCCACTATTGGATGAGTCTCCACAACGGCATAGGTTATTCCAAAGTTTGGTCCAAATCAACTAATTTGGGTGTTATGTGTAGAGATTTTTATTATTTCWACTTTAAAAAATGACTTAAGTTTAGGGCATTAGTAATATTTTTGTTTTTGCTGCCAAATTTAAGGCATTAAGGGATGAATAATTGTGATTTACCCATGTTACATCCCTGCCTTTAGCGGGTTTGGATCCTTAGGCTCAGTTTGGGAAGAGTGCAAACTGCAAATACAGATATGTTTAGTGAAATTTGGAAGGAGTGAAAATATAAATATCTACAATTTAAATACAGGCTTTGTGCTGTACATATTTGTATTTRCACTCTTTCCAATTTAAATACAGGCCTATTTTCCAAATAGGCCTCAACCCAAACCCAACAATAAGGATCTAATGATAAATTCCGACCAGAAATTAATTCCATTATACATGTATTTCCCCATAAATAGGAACTTATCCAAGATTCAAAATATTTGCAACATATTGATGCATATCATATGATATACAAAGAGACTTGTGTTTGTTTGTKTGTGKTGGGGGGGGGGGGTCTCTAGGTTTAGTCATTAAAATGCTCCTTATCTGACCTACTAAAATATATATGAACTAGAGAAACAAAATTTAAAAAAGAGTATCACACATCTATGGGCTGTATGGGGGCTGTTCGACAAAACCCATCATGTTGTTGCAAAGTGCCAACGAGCGGGTTGGTAATAGGGGTGAGCAAAAAAAAACCGGAAAATTGAACCGACCAAAATCAAACCAAAAAATCAGTTAATCAAATCGGTCGGTTTGGTTTTTGTTCGATATTCTAAAAAAATAAAAAATTTTGGTTCGGTTTCGGTTAACCTTATAAAAAAAACCGACGGTTAACCGAACCGACCGGTATATATACAATAATATATAATATAATATAATATATTTTATTTTATTTTTATTTTTTAAAATTGAATAAACCTAGGCATGCGTGCCTATGGCCTGTCCGCCTTTTCAATTTTCCCCTTTCCCCTTTCCCAGTTCCCCACTTTTCCACTTTTAAAGTTGATTTTAGATGGTCAAAATTTTCTATTTTCCCCTTTCCCAAGTCTTAACAGGCTGGTGCACGCTTGTCGAGGCCGAGTGAATCTGGGCGCACACTCGCCTTTTTTGTTTTCTCCTTCTTCAAAAATCGAAACCTAAAGGTCCTAAACCAGTTTCCCCTTTCTTACTCTCTTAGTCTTGTCTCTTCGTCTTCTCCAATTTGGCAATCCCCAGTTTTTCCTCCAGTGCCAGTCGTCACCGGTAGTTTTTCCCTATGTCTCTTTCTCTCTCCGAGTCTCTGTTGCAATGTTGCCTGTCATCTTTGTCTCCACCATGCCAACATGGAACATCGATCGTCACCTCGACTCCGCTAGGACCACCACCTCCCAGGCTCTGTCTCTGTCTCTCTCATCTCTCATCTTCGTGGCTCTACCACCTCTCAAGCTTTCACTTCAGGCGACAACAACCACCAACCAGTCCGGCACCGACAAATCATCGGCCACCACTTTGCCCTCGCCGACTCGCCCCTCTACCATGCTTTACTTGTTCAGGTATTGTTTTCTTAATTTTGAATGCAAAAAAAAAAAGAAAAACTGAACCGAGGTTAATCGGTCCATCGATTCGATTTTGGTTCAGATTAAAAAACCGATCAAGTCGGTTTGGTTAAAAAAAAACACCCCTGGTTGGTAAGATCTTCCACTGGTCATAGCGGAGACTTGGGATTGAGTCCGCCTGCACTTGGGTTGGTGGATGGGTTATCCCCCGTTGTTTAGAACTTCAAAAGAAGTAAAAAAAAACAACCATTTTGTCGAACACTCATACATCTATATCTATATTACTATTATAACTACAAATGTTTTTTTTTTCTTAACTAAAACACCTTTCACCTTGAATTTGATCCCTCTCTAATAAGTCTTATGTTTAAGGTATTAACTCCCATTCTCTCTCATCAAACCCTGTTTTAAGGTATTTTTTCTCACCAAAAAATTATATTAATTAAATTTAAATTCAATATTTAACATTATAAAGTCCATGTTTCTAAAACTGACCCCAAAACAAAATTGTTCTTCTATGGAGATGGTGGATAAGAAATAACCATTGGGGCAAATTGGTCAATCTTGTCATGGATAATTAACATATTTTTAAATATAAATAAATATAGAAATAAAAAATATAATAGTTGTTTTATTGATGATGGAAATGAAATACAAAATTTAAAACCAATTCAAAATAAAAGTTATTTTTTAGTTTGGAGGTGGGTCAACGATTCAACATTTCTTGTCAAATGTATTAACAATTGGTGTCATAATTAAATAAAAAATTAAAAAGATAAAATACAAAAAAAAATTATAAAAAACATTTGAGCACACTTATAGTGTTTTATATTAATCCCATAGAGAAAARATAAGTGCAATAAACAATAATTATTTTCACTAACGATGGAAATATAATATAAGATCCAAAATGAAATTGACTTTTTTTATTTGATGGCAAATTAACAATTCAAACTTTTGGTTCAAATGTGTTTACCTTTAATGTCATAACCAAATAATAAAAAAATTAACATATAAAAATTTGTAGGAAATATTTGAATACAACTCTAACATTATATATTTAATATATTTTTTATATACATAATAAGTGAATTATTTTTATCGTCACGCCATAGTTTTCAAGAAACCAAGGCGAGGGTGCCTTGTCGCCGGAACGGGATATGCTCCTCACACTTGGGTGCCTCACATGCACATCCACCGTGCATTGGGAACATCTCCCATGAAAAATAAATTACAAGTATAGGAGATGTTCGCAATGCATGGTAGGATGTGCGTGTGAGGCGCCCTATGTGAGGAGCATATCCGATCTCCTTGTCGCCTAGGCAGTTGCCTAGGTAATGGATTTTTTCAAGTAAAAATATATATCCTAGGGTAGTTCCCTAGGTTCCATAATTTTCATGAGAAAAGTATAAACTTCATGTTAAAGTACAGAAAATCAACATACTCCAACATATTCATGAGAAAAAAGAAATAAAAGAATTTCAAAAAAATATAAAGGCTCAACCCCTATTTTTGTTTTAGAAAAAGAAGAAAAGAAAATGTGGAATAAGAAAATTGGTATATAATATAGACACACATAATTAGTAAAGAAAAAGAAATAAATGTGTTGATTATACAACATTTTAAGTTCTTCATTATTTATTGGTTCAGGTTTTAAAGTCTTTCAATACAATATTTAGCAATGTTTGTGTTAATTAAACCCTAACAAATAAGAAAATAATAAAAAAAATTAGTATATAAACACACAAAATGAATATTTTAGTTTAAAAATGTCTATTTTAAAATTACAATATCAAAATATTAAGCATCATGCATTTCCAATTTTCACGTTTTTCAAAAAAAAAACGGCTCAATTTGAAAGGAATATATATACAAATAAATTACATAGTTTGCACTGAGACCGGATATGCTCCTCACAGACTGATAAGCACATCCTGCCATGCATTAATAACATCTCCCATACTTATTAATGAATATTCACGGGAGATGTTTCCAATACATAGTGGATGTGCATGTGAGGCGCCCATTTGTGAGGAGCAGATCCCGTCTCATTTGCATTCTACATATTATGTACTCCTTCCAAACTAAGACAAAAGAAAAGGCGCCTCACACACACATATCTACTATGCATTATGCGTTGTGAGAAACATCTTCCATACTTATTATATGTTATTATTCACGCGAAATGTTCCCATGCACGGTGGATGTGCCTCTAAGGCGCACATTTGTTACGAGCAGATCCCGCTTTACAGAAAGTGTAACTAAAATCTTTTCTGTCTGTGCCCGATTTGTGAGTCAAAAAGTGTACGTTACGAGGTATTTCCGTAAATAAATTATATTACAAGGGTGTTTCCACAAATGGCTTGTCATGGAGGTGAATTAAAACCAAATTCTTCTTATAAAGGCTATCTCGCCTGAGAAGATCCCGGGTCCGGCCGGCGTGTCTCCTCCATCAACGTCTTTTGAAAATTTTCTCTGAACTCACTCCTATCGCTCCTCTCGCCAATGCAAATAAAAACGATTTCTTCATTAAATAAAATAAAAATAGGTTTAATGACGAATGATTAATAAATAATAAAATAAAAAGAGAAACAATTTCCGAATTTATCCGGTTTATATTTTCGAGGAAAGCCTTCTTAAGGAAGCGAAATGGCGGGATGGGATGACAGTGATTTATCGTCGGGTTCACCGTCGGGGAGCGGAGCAGGCGATTCATCTCGTATCGCGGCGCGATCGTTGCTCGGCGAATCGTTCAAGGATCGCATGCTATTGGGGATCCGAATCTGCAAAGAGGATCTGAAGCGGAAGATTATGATGCCACAATACCTTCGGCTTGCCATGCGAGATGCTATTCGGTTTAAGGACCCGAACGCCAGTGACATGTACGTGGGGAATGGGAACGAGGAGGCACCTCAGGCGCCAATGGTGGTGTTCGTGAATTCGAGAAGTGGAGGACGGCTTGGGCCGTTTCTAAAAGAGAGGCTTCAGGAATTGATGGGTGAAGAACAAGTTAAGTGTTCAACTTAACATTTTTATTGGGATTCAGTTTAGCCTTTGATTGTTTTTGAGGAAAAATGATTATTGTTTTTTGGTTTTTGAGATGGAAGAATATGTTTGTGCACAAATGAATACGTTTTGATTGTTTAAGTGAGAATATAGTTACTAGAATTGGCTCTTGTGAAAAATTTGAGACATGAATGGATAAACAATCACCTTTATGTGTTCCAATGTCTTTCTTTTTTTCTTCAAAAGAATAAAGTATGATATTACATTAACCAGGGAAAAAGATTACAAGCACCATATACACCAAGGGACTTTATACAAATTAACTTGCTTCCTGTTTACAAAAGGAGTATCTCTGTCAAAAAATGTATTGTATGATTTACTTTGAACTACTTGTGAACACTCACCTAAGACAAAATTCTGCCATTCAAAATAGACTTCAACTCATCTACAGATTCAAAACTGTTTTCAAAAGTTCTTAAATTCCTCTCCTTCCATAGAAGTCCACATTGCCCATGAATAGAAATCTTCCAAAGTATGGACCCCTCTTTGCTTAACCTCTTTGCATAGGCTGCAACTATTGCTCGACAGTTCTGCTCCCTCCTTATCAAGTATTTTATATATAGGTAGTGCTAGTTGAACTATAACGTTGTGTAAGCAGAAAAATGAGAGCTATTCATGGGCATAATTTCGGGGGAATATTGTAGTCAGGGTGGTGTTTTCTAGAATTTTGAATTAAACTCTAACGTCCAAAACGTTTGCTTCWKYAATGGAGTTACATCATTGCTCTGTCATGAATGAGGAAATGTCCTGGTGGGTTGTTATTTTCAAGCTCTCTGTCTCTCTGGGGTTATTCTAGTTGAGAGGTAGTGACAGTGTTTCTACGATGTTTAACAGCTCTTTGTTCTTGGCTTGTAGAGAGTGTATGGGGAATAGATTTTGCATCCTACTAAAAGATCAGTTTGCATGTATTTTATTTTCAAATTTAGAGTGGCTAAGCATATTCCCAAGGGGAAAAATGATGTTTATTTATTTATTTTTCTTTTGATCTGTACAATAGCAACTTATCCAGAAAAGTTATAGCTGCAACCAGACTCTGTAAATTGTTTCTCATAAACCTTTATGTTGTTCCTTCCAAATAGTTGTTTGTAACCTGGTTATGGTGCCCAAAGTTCATCAGATTCTGCATGATCAACATAGATTTGAGAGCAGTCATGTGGGCAACATTTATTTATTTTGGATCTCTTAATGAGGTCTTCCTTTTTGATGCCTTACAAGTTTTTAAAATGATCAACAAGAAGCCTCTAGAGAGGGAGTTTCACTTTGCAATACATTGAAAATGATTTAAATTTGGTATTTTCCAAGAATTCGATAATACTTTCTGATTTTTGAGAAATTTAGGTAATTTCAATACGTTCCAAAACTTCAAGTAATTTTGCCAAGTTCAGTTCAAAGCTTCTAGTATTTTTTTATTGGAAACATTGAATCTTCATTAAATTAAGAAATAATTATGAGGATTACAATATTTGAAGCATCTCAATTTAAAGTAATTAGGATCCCTTCAGAATCCAAATCATTACAACGAAGCTCAAAACAATTGTTCCCTATTAGTCCCTTGTTTAGCTAAAGCATTGGCCAGTCCATTAGCAGATCTTCTAATCCATCTGAAATTGAGCCTCATCTCCTTTGCAAAACATCTCGCTTCCCTTAATGGCTTGTTATGGTTCCACACCCCTACTTGTTCATCTGCATCCAGCTTACTACTAATTCAAAGATTCTAGTATTTTCTATAAATATTTGAAGAAGTTCCACATTTTTCATGGTTTCAATTTTGATATTGATGTTGAAATCAGAGTTTTGAAATCTTTGTCTTGCTTGCCTCATGCACGTCTTCTTCCTTAGGCTTTCTTCTAACCATACTATCCTTTATAGAGGATTCACATTGAAATTTAGAATATCCACTAATGATTTGAGTTAAGATTTTTTTTTTTGAAAGAGTTTAAGTGTAAAAATTGAATTAAGAATTCTATTGCTAGTAATTTTAATTTTCTTCTTAGTGACATAAAGATATACCTATTGTATGTCATATTCTGTAGAGAACATTGATATGGTCCCCACACGTGTTYGTTAGTTTATGATTGTTTATAGTAGTTTCTGTTAGCAGTTATTTCAGTTATTTCTGTTAGTTTTTTTATTTCTTTTGCCATGTAAGCAGTAAGGGTAATTCAGCCCTTTTACCTTTATTTGAATAATTAATATAAATTATAGAGTGGGGCGACAATTATGGCCAATTCTCTCTCTTTTCTGAATTCTCCTCTTCGAGTTTTTCTCCTCTTCTCTTCTCTTCATTTCCTTCTCTCTTCTCAATCTTTCCCTTGTTTATTTCACATTGAACCTAGGACTGATTGCAGTCCTATTTGACTACTTGGTATCAGAGCCAACCTAGGAATTCTTATGCTAGTCTAATCAGGCCGACTACATGAGAACTTCTTAGGGTTGGAAGTTCCAGTAGAAAGAAGATAATTGGCTGATTCTTGGAGGTTGCTGGCAGTGTACGGCTGCTACTCAAGGGACTGTAGAGCCTTGGAGAGATCCAGCAATCCAGAAGAATCAGAAGAAGGGTTGAATCCTCAAGATTAGGGTTCGGACATCAGTTAGAAGGTGGCAGCCAGATTTTTTCCTGAAGTAAGTTGATTTTCTTTGAGATCGATTTGAAAAAGGTTCCTTTTGTTTATTCTGAGAGGTGCGGTTGGGAAATCTCCTCTCTTCTCCTGAGTTTTTTAGGGTTTTAATCCCATGACTGATCGTAGATAAGAAAAAACCCTAAAACTCAAGACTTGTTAATTCTGGGGCAGTAGTTGGACCTGTTTTCATTCCAGACTGAGTGTTTTAGTTCTCTGGAGATCTAGTAGAGCTGTTTTATTATTTCTGGGTAGTTGCCGAACCTAATTCACCCTCCTAGGTTGGCTGTTAACATTTTATGGGTGCAGTTTCACTTATCTCAATGCTAAAAAGGGTGTTTTTTTATTAATATCTTAACAAGAATGGAGTTTAAGAATCAAGGGGAAGGTGTTTTGGGGGTTGGTGGTTCTGGTAACATGTTTGAGAACACTTTTCAGATTACAATTGTCAAGTTTGACGGATCGAATTACTTGGAATGGGTCCAATCAGCCATGATGGCCATTGGGGGTAGAGGAAAACTAATTTATTTGTTGGGGGACGTGAAGGAACCAACTAAGGAGGACCAAACCTATGCCAAATGGGTTTAGGAGAACTATTTGGTTATGACATGGCTGTGCATATCCATGCAGCCACATATCAGCCGAAACTACTTGTGGGCAAAAGTAGCTAAGGAAATTTGGGACATCATGAAAGAGACCTACTCCTAACCCCTTAATGTTGCTAGGGCTTATGAGCTGAAATGTGAGGTTAATAATCTTAAGCAAGGAGAGAAACCAGTCTTGGTTTACTTCTCAACCTTGAAATCCTTTTGGCATAAAATTGTCCAGCTAGAAGCAATTGAGTGGGAAAGTCAGAAGGGTGCCCAAACTTATAGAAAACAAGTTGAAACTAATAGGGTGTTTGAGTTCCTAACTGGTTTGAGTTCTGAATATGATATTGTGAGACAACTACTCACGAGAGATAGTGTGACCCTATCACAAGCCTACTCCTTAGTGCACAGTGAAGAGAGTAGGAGAAAGGTTATGTTGCTGCATCAGCCTTGACAGCAATTAACCTTAAGTTTGGGGGTGATAAAGAAAGAGATACGAAGAAGGAAGATAAGAGGGACCTAGTATGTGAGCAATGCAAGAAACCTAAACATACTAAAGACACCTGTTGGAAGTTACATCCACATCTAGTTCCAACAAAACTCAGAAATAAAAGGGGAAATGCCAATGTGGCTGTTATTACTGACTGTACAACCTCATCGGGCACAAGAGCCACATCCCTAGACACCTTAGTTGCTGTCCGGGCAGCTTTGACTCAGTTGGAGAGTGAAGTTGGTAATTCAGCACCATTGCCTCAGGCGTTAGTCACAACATCTGCTCCTCCCACTTCAACTTTTGCTCGTTCAGGTACATGGGCATCAACCTATCATGCTTCAGCCCCAGGTAACATTGGACCTTKTTGGGTTATAAATTCAGGTGCATCTGATCATATGACTGGTTTGTCCTCACTGTTTACTACCTATCACTTTTTCTCTGGTAGAGACAAAGTGTCTATTGCTGATGGCTCTCTTGTTCCTAATTCTAGTGCCATTTCTTTGTCTTCAGTTTTACATGTTCCTAAACTTAGTACTAATTTGCTTTTAGTTAGTAGCACTACTAAAACCCAAAATTGTTTAGTAACTTTTTTCCCTGACTGATGTGTTTTCTGGATTTGAAGACAAGGAAGGTGATTGGGATTGGCCGTGAGATGAATGAAATCTATCTGCTTGGAGGGAGCTCACATGGGGAAGATAGTGAAGCTAGGAGGTCTTTTGTTTCTCAGTCTATTGGTCAAGTTATTACTTTGGCATAATCGGTTGGGTCATTTATCTTTTGTCTTTAAAAATTTGTTTCCTAGTTTGTTTGAGTCAGTCCAGATGTCCATTTTGAGATGTGAAAGTTGTGAGCTTGCAAAACATTGTAGAACAACCTATTCATTGAGTAATAAAAGTAGTATTCCTTTTGAAATTGTGCATACCAATGTTTGGGGACCTTATCACATCACTGCTATGGGGGGGGGTATAGATATTTCTTGTTGTTTGTTGATGACTATACCCATTTTTCTTGGGTTTACCTTATGCGTTATCGAGATGAGGTTCTTACGTTAACCCGGATCTTTCATCAGATGATTTTAACCCAGTTTGGGGTCAAAATCAAAATTTTCAGATCTGATAATGCGAAAGAGTATTTTGCAAAACCATTAGCCTCATACTTCCTTGACCATGGGATCATCCATCAAAGTACCTGTCCTCATACACCTCAGCAGAATGGGGTTACTGAGAGGAAGAATAAACACAT